AAGTAGTATGTAAAAGACTGGTGTCAGGATCGTTCAAGAATGGAGAGAGAGACTGGGGAGTCATCAGCTTTCAGGTGGTTGTAAAACCATGATAGTCCAGGAGATAGACATGGATCTTGCCCCCATGGGGTTTGCAGGCCAGAAGGGAAGAGATGTAAACAGAAAGTGGTAATGTAGGATGATGAGGAATGTATGGGTAAATGAGTCATTCTGTTTGGTTAGAATCTATGTGTAAAACTCATTGGTCTCCCTTTTAAAGGATAAGGAAGAGAGCAAAGGATTATTTGACCTTGAGATCAGTTCATCCAATGATAGCAAGGTGTTGGATAGAGTGTTAAGGTTAATGCTGCATTGCCTCCTTCTTCATGTTCTTTATCTAATTCATTACCAAGCACTTTAGTTTTCTTCACAAACCACCCTCATATTGCCATTCTCTTCTTTTTTATGGCTGCCATCTAAAGCTGACTCCTACCCTTTATTCCCCTGGTGTCTCTTACTCTGAAACATTCTGTTACTATTTTAAAATAAGCATCCAAAATATTCCTATCTTATCTGTCCAGCCTTATTTTTCCACTGTTCTTTGGCATCATCCTGTTCTCTTCACTAAATTGTAAAATGCATGGTGAATACTCAAGAACCAATCTAAATTGGTCCTCTCAAATGGCTGGTTAAGGAATGTGTATGGGTGACAAATTTTAGTGGAAGTAGGAAAGTCCTAACCCTTTGACCTCATGTTCCACAATTCATCACCCTTTATAGTTGGGGTATTATAAGATGAGCTCCAGATCCTTCCAGAAGCCCAGACATAATTTGTATGGTTAATTTGTATGGCTAAGCATCATAGGTCTTTATGACCCTCCAGAGTAATTGGAGGTGTCCAGGTGTAGAGGAGCCTCTCCAGGGATTGATTCTGCATCAAGCCTGAGAAATCTCCTTCTGAATACAGTTAAACATTTGTGTTTCCTGGGTAGGAGAAAAGCTTCAGGAGTTCCACGACAGACCTTTTATGTTTAGGTTTACTTTTAAAATTCAATATGACAATTAGCCATGAGTATATTTCTTATGAACTATCTGTAAGATATACATCTAAGTAGTGATACTTTTCTTTTCCACTAGGTTTTTGCTGAAGAGGGCTTAAAGCTTACTTCAAGTGTACAAGTTTTCTCAAAACAGGTAATGCAAGTCTGCCTGCTTGGTCTTGATGGTGATGTCACGAATACCCACTTGGGGGGTATATTATTAAGGTGTAAGGGTATTTAAGGTTTAAAAGATGGTGTTTGTTGGAGTTGTTATAACTTCCTAAATTATATTTCAGCTGAAAGATGATGACAAGCTTATGCTTCTCCTGGAAATAAACAAGCTGATTCCTTTATGCCACCAGCTCCAAACAGTAACTAAGACACCTTTGCAAAATCAAGTGTTTCTAAAGGTAAAAGGAGTTGTTATAACTTCCTAAATTATATTTCAGCTGAAAGATGATGACAAGCTTATGCTTCTCCTGGAAATAAACAAGCTGATTCCTTTATGCCACCAGCTCCAAACAGTAACTAAGACACCTTTGCAAAATCAAGTGTTTCTAAAGGTAAAAAGGTAAAAAAAAGCGTTACTCGGGAGACACTTGAGAAACTTTCACATTTATCAGGTGTGCTTCTAGCCCATTTTTCCTCAGAGTGTTCTTACCCACAGACAGGCAATTTACTTCCATTTTTCATGCCTCGATTGCAAGAATCATTTATCATCTGTAGTTGTAACTGACCCCAGGGAGCAGTAGGTTCACCAGATAAATCAGCTTTCTTTTCTTTTTTTTTTTTTTTAAAGATTTTATTTATTTATTTGACAGAGGGAGAGACAGCGAGAGCAGGAACACAAGCAGGGGTAGTGGGAGAGGGAGAAGCAGGCTTCCTGCGGAGCAGAGCCCATGCAGGGCTCGATCCCAGGACCCCAGGATCATGACCTGAGCCGAAGGCAGACTCTTTTTTTAAGATTTTATTTATTTATTTGACAGAGACACAGCAAGAGAGGGAACACAAGCAGGGGGAGTGGGAGAGGGAGAAGCAGGCTTCCCGCAGAGCAGGAAGCCCAATGCAGGGCTCGATCCCAGGACCCTGGGATCATGACCTGAGCCGAAGGCAGACGCTTAACAACTGAGTCACCCAGGTGCCCCTTTTTTTTTTTTTTTTTTGCCGAAGGCAGACTCTTAACAACTGAGCCACCCAGGCATTCCATAAATCAGCTTTTTGGACATGATTAATTCCACCACGCTGAGCAGCTACCCTTAAATCCTGAGGTTGTCACATGTCTAACTAGGGCACAAATCCCTCAGAGTAGGGGCTCCCGTTGTTTGTCTTAGGGAATTTAGCTTATGGCTGCAAAGCAGAGTGCCAGAAGTTGCAAAGTAGGGGGTTCACTGCCGCACTTTGGAGTGTTTTAAGAAGTGCCTAAACATCTCAAAGTAGAACAGGTTGATTTTCCATCCATTCTTCCTGGGGTTCCGTGAAATGGGTAGGAGACCTGGGCAGCAGGCCCTGCACTTGTGTTCTGGGGCCTCAAGTCTGCTCATGTGCCCTACCTAATCCATATGCCTTTTGAGATCCTTTAAATTTCTACAATGAAGAAATTTTATCAGGTTAAAATGTAATTAATAATACAGTCTTTTGAAGTACCCTTTGTAGAATTTTATTTGCTTGCTTTCTGTCATTATAGGTTGATAAGTGTATTACAAAGACAAGATCCATGATGGCTATTTTGGTCCAACTTCTCTCACTTTGTTATAAACTGCTAAAGAAGGTAAGATGGGTTTTCTGTCTGAAAATCACATTTTAAAAACTAGTTTCCAGAAAAATGCAAAAGAAATAGCTACTATTTAATTTTGCAATTTTTATTTTGAAAGTAAAGTAGAAACTAATTGTCTTAACTCTTTCCAGCTTCAGATGGAAAATAACAGATGGGTCTCAGTTACAAATAAAGACTCCGTGGATGGTAAAACTTGAGAAGCTTTTGGGGTCAGATCTCTCGAACAGCATGCGGCAAAGCTGATATTTTTAGAAAGCAGATGATCCTTTATATTTTCAGAAATTCAACAGTTTTATAAAAAAACAATTATGAAATCTTGCTTTATTTTCTGATCATGAAACTGATTGTGATGCTTTTTAACAGCTAATAAATGCCACGGTAGTTGCTACATTACTAATTGCAGTGTGAATTTACAATGGGACATTGCCATTGATAATGTTATTGAAAGTCAAACCAAATATCCCAACTGTCTTAATGACAGTTTAATCCAAAGAAGCTATTTTGAATATGTGCTCACCTTTGGCATAAAATACCTTAAATTCCTCTTTTCTGTTTTTATTTAAGCTTATCTTCTAGAACACTAATTTTCAGCAGGAAATACATAGTTGTCTGGGTGAACACAGGGGTTTCCTTAAATCTGTCCCTCTGTTCACAATTGTGACTGGCCTCTTCGCTGTCCTGTCACAGATCACCCATGTTAGGAGCACACGTTTGTTCTCTAACAAGCATCTCAGAGCATAGGCTCTCTGCTGTGCTGCACATCTCCCCGCCCCCCCCCCCCCCATTCCCAAAGGCAGGGTCATGGAGCTCACTCCACAGAATCCTCCAGGAACTCACTAGGAGATGGCTTACACTTCTCCTACCATAGCTGGCTGGTCTGTCTGCCTTAAATATTAGATGGAATCCTAAGCCTGTCTTACCTGTGTAAAAAAATAGTCTTTGAACCACCCTTTATACTGACTGATGGAATGGAAGATACGAGACAGGGAACAATGGAACGAAGATGTTTAAAATAAATTCTGAATAACTGTGCATCTTGTATATGTGCCTTTGGAATGTTCGTTATAAAACATTTTAATTTTAGGGCTTAAAGCTTTTCTTCTTTTTGTTTGGGTTGGGGCTTTGATTGAAGGATCTGGTTTATATGTTCAGTCCTTAGAGTATAGTATAACTGTTTTGAACTCTTGCTAGTGCTTGTATCCCAGTACTGTGAAATTCATTTTGAAATCTGATAGAAAATGTCACTTGCCAAATGGCAGTAGTTATATAAGCTTGTTTGATGATTGGTATCTGGGTCAGCTATCACAATCAATATTCACAAGATCCTGAAGAACCACAGTACTACCAATTACCTAGTCAATATTTTATTGAAGGAAACTTGAACTTACCATAAGCCTTCAGGAGGAAATGGGATACACTTGGCTTAATGACCTTTATATTTCTTCTATAAAAATTATCAAGCATGATTTTTATTCCTTGAAACCAAAATATTCCTTAAAATTACATTAGAAATAATGGGAGAACAATGTGAGGTAATGTTACATGTAAAATATGTATTTCTTTTACTATCTTTAGTATCTTTGTTTTCTGATGTCTTCAGGAATCATTATGCTACACAAAATGGGGATCTGCTGGTTTGTGCTTACATTTCCAGTTCATAGCACCGTCATTGTAGGTGTTTGTAGAGTTATTACCTATGTCATGTCTGGTGAGTATATTTAAGGGACTGTCATGCTGGCACTCAAGTTACAAGAAGTTTTTCTTGTCAATCAAAAATAACTTTTAGATTTTATTTACAAAATAGTTTTACATACCTGAAATGAGAAAATTCTCTTATTTAGGTGTAATTGGGGGTGGGGAAGGGATGACTTATGACTTCAACAGCATAAGAGGATAGAGAACCAAAGGCATTTACAAGTAAAGTGATTTCTTCTGTATTAAATTACATCTTGTTTTGTTTACAGAGATATTTATTTATTTATTTATTTTTTAAAGATTTTATTTATTTGACTTGAGAGAGAGAGCACAAGTAGGCAGAGTGGCAGGCAGAGAGAGAGGGAGAAGCAGACTCCCCGCTGAGCAGGGAGCCCGATGTGGAACTCGATCCCAGCACCCTGGGATCATGACCTGAGCCAAAGGCAGACACTCAACGACTGAGCCACCCAAGCGCCCCTACAGAGATATTTAAATGTACACGTGCTGCAGCCTTAAAAAAATGACAATTTAAAAAGTCCTTTTATTTGAAATTCATTGTAAATGAGTAGACAATCTTAAATCATAAATCAGTTCCCTTTTCAGTTTAGATGATGATCAAGTTTTTGTTCCATTCAGAGGCATCTGTGTCTTTGGATTATGGCAACTTCTCAGTAACTTCTTGGCTGGCTACCCCATAGCTAGAGTGTGAGACTGAGCGACTACACTGTACGTATTGTAATAAGCAGCTTTACGCCGCATTAGAATACTTCCATGTTGGGAAAGCCCTTTGTAGTTTTCAAAGCCTTTTCCTGTATCCCTCATTTAAGAAGCCACAGTGTTACACTGGACTTTGTTTCAGAGAGGAAGGCCATCTGAGCCACATAAGGAGTGGCCAAGTATACTCTGCCTCTCCCCTGACCTAAGGGGAGAAGAGTTGGGGCTGAAGAGGCGACACCAGCCTTTTTGGTAGTGTCACTTGGAAGCAGATTGGGTAAAAAAGGCCTGTTTTTTTTTTTTAACTTCAAACTGGGGAAAATTGAGGCAAAAACAATAACCATGCCGTAACATTCAAACCGAAGCATGTCAAAATGTAGTATTTACCAGTGGGTTACAAGATCATGGGTAAATTATTTTTACTTTGCTACTTAAAACTTATCTGTCTTGTCCAAATTTTCCTCAAAGTGCTTTGTTTTTAATCAGAAAAACATCCTTTGTTTGCCAGTTGTTAAGAAAGGTAAAAGAACAGAGTGGGTACATGGGCAGGGCAGATCTGGGAGGCTGAGGACAAAATGGGAACCAAGGCTTGTTATGCAAGACGAAGAGGGGAAACTAGGTTAAGTTTGAAGATCAGGCCTCTCTGCGGATGGCTAGGTGTGAAGCATGTGTCACACATGCTGGTTCTTCTTTAGCGCACGCATCGCGTAGGCTGGGGAGGGGTAAGCACGCCGTGGTATTCGTTACCCATCTCAGTCCTCATGACGTAGCTGTTGTGGCATTCATGCGCTTCACCACGACTTCTTCATACTGTTTCTGTGTCAGTAAGCCTTCTGTTATGCTTTTACTTTCTTCAAATTTGGGCAACACAACTGCAATGTAGCCTTCAGTGGATGGCTGGGAAGGAAAGAGAATATTTAGTACTGTCAAATGTGTAAAATCAGATAAAAAGTATGTGGATTGGATCATACTTTTTTCTGCCTCCTTTACCTTCTCTTGAAGAATAGATGGCTTATGGAGAATGTTTTCATTCACTTCCATCAACCGTCCTCTAACACAGCTGTTTAAAAAAAAAAAAAAAAGTTGTTTTGAAGGAAAATACTATCTCCTTTGTTTCTCCTAAATTGTGGTTAAAAAGTATCTCACCTAGATACAGTATATTCTTCTCCATCTGAGCAGTAAATCTTACACAGAGGTGCAAGCTCTGTTAGAAACTGTGCCCCCTGATAATAAAAGGGAAGAAGTAATTAAGTGATGTATATGTTCACTTTCCTTTGAGAGGCAGTCCTCATTGTGATAAGAGAATATATTCCTGGAACTAGTATTTTAAATAAAAATGACTTAAGTACTGAAAAACCATTTATTCAAACATTTATGTAAGCGCCTACTATGGGCCCGGTACCATCAGAGGCTCTAGGGGAAAGAGCAGACTAAGATACATAACAGGTAGTTTAATTAAAGATGAAGAATATATTTTATCAACTTTAATGAGAAAGCTACATATGACCAGACATGAAGATTTCAAAAGTGTAGGAAAATCCATCAATAAGCAATAATACAAAATTCAACATGACAGAGTATGACAGCAATATTATACAGTTACTTTCATTAAGATTCCTAACTTATTTTTATATTAGAACTTACTAGATAAAGGAACTTCTTTATTAGGGTCAGTCACTAACACTTTTTGAAGCAGTGATATTTTTCTAATTAAAAAGAATGCACTTTGAGGAAAATTGGGAAAATACAGAAAAGTTTTAAATAGCAAACAAGAATAGTTTACCCATTATCCTTATAATCCAGAAGCAAATACTATATTTTAACATTCATCTGTTTGAATGCTATGACATGGTTGTTTCACGTACTCCACATCGATGTATCTGGTGAGGTTCTGACAAATATCTACAAGGAAGCTCATGGGAAACTGATGCACGCCTGTCTATGTTGCTCATTTTCCCAGAAATTTTTCCTATAGTTAACATGGGTATTTGAGGTCAAGATGCTATTCTCTATGACTCTTTACCACTCAAAACATTATTTTTTCTCTTTTTTTAAAAAGATTTATCCATTTGAGAGAGAGAAAGAACTTGTGAGTGTGGTGGGAGTGGGGAGACTAGCAGAGTGGGAGGAGGGAGAGGGAAAAGCAGACTTCAAGCTCTGCGCAAAACCAGACATGGGGCCTGATCCCAGGACCCTGAAATTATGACCTGAGCTGAAACCAAGAGTCAGATGCCATCTGACCACCCAGGTGCCCCCCACTCAAAACATTAGACAGCATACAAATGCTACCACATTGGCTTCAATCGTCTGCATATGGGTACTTTATTTCAAAATACTTCTCAGTGTGATTCCTCACTTTTGGGAGGAGGGGCTGGGGATTTGTCCTAAAGGGTGTGTCTATCACTGGGTTTACGTTAAAAGAGCATAAGTGTTTTGACCCTTTTTTATCACCTCCCTTGGGAGAATAAATGATTGGCAATGCTGAGAATCAAAACTTATCTGTAGTGGGTTCCATATGCAGGTTCTCCTCTGTTCTTCAATAGTAACAATAGTGTTACTATTTTGGACAAAGATTTATCACAGGAACTTCACAAAACACTGTTATACTTGTAATTTGTAGACTTTATCTTTTTTTTCTTTTAAGAAGCTGGAGGTGGGGGGGACTGGAGGGGAGGGGCAGAGAGAGATGATCTCAAGCAGGCTCCATGCTCAGCTCTAGCTCAACGCAGGGCTCGATCCCACAACACTGAGATGATGACCCAAGCCAAAATCAAGAGTTGGATGCTCAACCGACTGAGGCACCCAGTGTCCCTATAGACTTTACCTTTTTTAATTTTTTTTTAAATTTTATTGTGTTATGTTAGTCACCATAAATACATCACTGGTTTTTGATGTGGTGATCCACGATCCATTGTTTTCATGTAACACCCAGTGCTCCATGCAGTACGTGGCCTCCTTAATACCCATCACCGGAAGACTTTACCTTTTAAGAAAGGTTCATGCTTTTCTAAGTCCATGTGTTTCCTGAGCAAGGAAAAATTTCAAACCTACAAAGGGGAGTATAAACAAGGGTCTCCTACAACAGTGAGGGTAATTAGCAGAAACTCTTAGTATCAAGTCAGAAAATGAAGGACCTGAATCATCCACTGAAACCTTCTTATCCAAGTGCATATGTCGGGATACTTCAGTGTTACCGAATTGTCCTTGGTGTGATACTCTAATAAAATGTGTCATCCTGCCTGAAGTTGTAGAGGGTAGAGATAATATCCTGTACAACCCAGCACTGTGTGGAGGTACAGGGGGTGGCTAGATATGTATTAAATTGGCAACGATTAAAGAATGGAAAATGGTAAGGAGCAAATACTGTATTTTTTTCAGACTGATTTTTTTTCACTACCTGAGGATGTATTTTTTTTTTTAAATTTACATCTGAAAGTACATGGTAAAGAAGAGTTGGTCACTTAAATTTTATAGAACTCAGGATACTGGCTTAATAAAACTAGAAGAGACAAAATATCTTGTTATATTGGTATAAAAGTTGTCCTTTCAAAGGCCTGCCTTCCCCATTCTCCACCCTGGGAATGATAGGAATGGTGGTACAGAACTAAAAATATGACAAATCCTATACCTCCTGAAATAATCTTATTTTTTGGTCTAAGAATTTCTTTGAGGTTAAAGTATTCTTTTTTGTTGTTGTTGTTAAAGATTTATTTATTGAAAGAGAATGCGAGCAGGGGGGAGAGGGAGAAGCAGGTTCCCTGCTGAGCTGGGAACCCAACATGGGGCTCGATCCCAGGACCCCAGGATCATGACGTGAACCCAAGGCAGACGCTTAACCGACTGAGCCACCCAGGTGCCCCTAGGGTTAAAGTAGTCTTAAAATCAGCACATCACGGGCGCCTGGGTGACACAATCAGTTAAGTGTCCGACTCTTGGTTTCTGCTCAGGGTAATGATATCAAGCCCTGTCACGCTCTGCGCTCAGCACATAGTCTGCCTGAGATTTTCTCTCTCTCCCTCTGCCCCTCCTGCTTGTGCTTTCTCTCTAAAATAAATAAATAAATAAATATTTTTTAAAAAAAAATACGCATATCAGGGTGCCTGGGTGGCTCAGTTGGTTAAGCG